GTAAATAAGTGGAACAACAAATCAATGCCTCTTTCTCGCTCTCTCCCCCTCCCTCCCCCGCCTCTCTCAAATCAACAAAAATTATAAAAATTAAAAAAATAATAAAAGTACAAGGAGGAAAACAAAATCCCACTGTCCGGAGGTAATCTGTGTCTTTGGGCTTTGGTGCTTGTTCCCGGATATACTTATGCATTGGCATTTGTATGATTTATGTAACACAGTGGGAGTCGTCCCCCACAGCCTGCTTTTCCTTTTCTTCTTCTCTTCCTTTTACGTCGCGTGAACGTTTCCACGCGGCGTTAAACCTGCCATCATGTGGCTCCATGGCAGCTGCTGGGAAGGGCCGACAAGCACTAGCAGCTCCCTCTTGCTGCACACCCAGGTCCCTCCCCAGTTGCCAAATCATAAATGACGCTGCCATCAATACCTGGAATTCTTAGGACCTGTGGAGTTACAGGTTCAAAGGGTACGCAGAGTTCAAAGCAATTCATGATAGAATGCACGCATAGTGTATTTGCATACCACGTCTAATAGATTAAAGAGAAAGAGGACAGAAAGTTACACTTTTAAAAGTAATTTGGTCCTTCTATTTAAAAAAAAAAAAGAATCCTTTTGCATCTAATAGTGGAATCTATAACAGTAGATGTTTAAGATTTTCCTGATATGGCTCTCAGGCATCTGTCTATTCTGAGAAATTCTACTTTTTGCTTGTTGTTATCAGTGGAGTTGTTAATTTTATTTTTCCTTCCAGCCGGTCTTTGCTTGCATGCGGTGTGGGCAAGCCACATCAGCCCTTTGTGCCTTAATTTTCCCATCTGTGCAGAAGCCCCCAAATCACACATGCTTTTAGCAGTTGTCAAGATACAAATAGTTAAAGTGTAAAACCTGAGTTATGTGTCCGGCATATAGTTGGTGCTCAATTAATGCCACTGCTGTTACAACTTTTGAACACAGGAATCACATAGCCAGGTGATATACCAAATTCTCTTAGGACTTCTTATTCTTTTTGATTAATTCCCTTGAGTTTTCTAGTTTAGATACTTTATCATTTTCCAGTAGTAGTACCTTTGCCCCCTCTTTCCAATCCTCCTAGGTGCCTTTGTTTTTCTTGTTTAATTTTATTAGCTAGCTGTGATGGCTTTCTGTTGCCACATAACAAATTGCCACAAGCAGAGCATCTTAGAATGGCCCAGATTTATTATTTCATGGTTTCCGAGGGTCAGGAGACCGGAGTGTGCAAGTTCAGTCCTCAGCTCGGCGTCGAAGGCTGCAGGCAAGGCCGGGGAGGGGGCTGGCTGCTCCCTCCGGCAGAGGCTTCTCCGGCAGCAAAGATCCGCTTCCATACCCCCTCAGGCAGTGTCCTCCGGAGAAGCTCTCAGCGCTTGGAGACTCTCACACAGGAGAGCACTTCACTCCTTCTGCTCAGTCTCCCTCGTGCTTCAAAGTGTTGACTTCAGGAAGGGCCCAGACCCGAAGGGTTCACTGGGCCCACCCGGGAGAAGCGGCCCTGTTTTTGTAAATAACTTGTTTTTTCTTTCATTGATTCTAGAGAGAGGGAAAGGAAGGAGAAAGAGAGGGAAACATCGATGTGAGAAAGAAACATCGATTTGTTGCCTCTTGTATGCACCTTGACTGGGGACCAAATCTGTAACCCAGGCATGTGCCCTGACTGGGAATTGAACCCACGACCTTTCAGTATGCAGGTCAGCATCTACCTAGCTGAACCAAACCACACAGAGCAAGGGAATCATCCTTTTGATGAACACAAAAAGCAAACTTATTTGAGACTTAGTTACAGCTGCAAAATCCTTTCACCTTTATCATTTAGTGGAACCTAACCGTGGGTCTGAAATCCACCATAGTCCCGCCCACTCTTAGGGGGCGGGGATTCTACAGGGGGTGTACACAGGGGTGGGGACCTTGGGGACATCTCATTCTTCTGCAAATATAAGTGGTGGTTGTGATCATCTTTGTCTTGTGCTATTAAACTTTCTTCATAAAAAATGGAGTCTGAATTTTATCAAAATATTAGTGAGAAAATCAGCCCTGGCCAGTGTGGTTCAGTTGGTTGGAGCATCCTCCCATAAACCGAAAGGTCACAGGTTCGATTCCCAGTCAGGGCACGTACCTAGGTTTGCAGGTTCAGTCCCCAGTCAGGGTGCATGTGAGAGGCAACCGATGGATGTTTCTGACATTGATGTTTCTCTCTCTCACTCCCTTCCCCTTTCTTCAAACTCAGTGACCATATCATCAGGAGAGAATGGAAAAGAAAAAGAAAAAGAAAAAGTCATAAGGAAGGAAAAATACTTTTACAGTATTTATTGTAAAACATCTGTGTACAAGTGGACCTGCACAATCCAAACCCGGACTGTTCCAGGGTCAATTGTATTTATAAATATTTTACATTGTGGTAATTTGTTCTCCTTCCCGGGGCTATCTTTGCCATCGATTTCTAGTCTCTGGGCAATAAAGGAAAGCAGTAGAGGTCTCTTTCTACCAGGGAGGGAGTGGGTTGTGAAGGCAGGCGACTGTCCCTGTGGAGGTTCTGAGGTTGAGGGGCGAGTGCAGCCTCCGACAGAAAACGGCGCAGAGGAAGCTGGAACCACAGGCTGGCGATGAGGGACTGGGAGGGTGGGCATGTGGCGAGCTGTTCTGAGGGAAGGAGGTGGGTGTGCAGAGGTGCGTATCCCAGCGCCCAGCTGATGCGGACACACATGACTGAGGGTCTGCTTGCCTGAGTGAGCCCTGCCGTGCGTCCCACGGAGCCCCAGACAAAGAAAACCACGCGGAAAGAAAATACATTAGAGGTAGGATAAAGGAGGTAGGATAAAGTTCTGTGAACTGAGGGAAGAATTTGGCGCACACGCAGGTCTGCAGGGTGAAAGGCTTTCTTTCATTCCGGGCAGCTCAGAATACTCTTTGCTCCCTTTTTGCACCCACAATTCCTTCTCCAGACACGCTGTGCGCCCAGGATTCTCGGCGGTAAATGGCTTCCCTGGCAGCCACCGGGCACGGCTGCCAGATGTTCCGCGAGACCTGTAATGTCCTTAGCATTCACGTCAGCATTCTGGAAGGACTTGGTTCGCTCCCTGCAATGTTGCCTCTGAACCGGATTTGACGATCTGAAGAAAATTCTTGATTCTAGGCAGTGGAAGGACTTTTCGATGTCAGACGATGAGATGGAAGCACTAATGTTTCCCCGGACCCCTGTGTCCGAGGGCAGGCCTTTGGCTCCAGAGAGACCATGGCTTCCTGGCAGCCCATGATTCCCTGTCATCAGCCTCCGCAGCAGGAGGCTCTTTCTCACTTCTAATTTTATCTCCTGTCTCTATTAAGGCCGGATGACAAGTGGAGGAAAGAGCAGGTGCTTGAAAAGCGAAGCCTCCAGTCACCTCTCCCATTCTTTTTGGCTTCTCTTTCACAACCACTTAATTACATGTTGCTCTTCTCTGACCCTCCTCAATATCCTCACATTCTTTGTAAACAGCGGACTTTGAATAACAATCCTTGAACCTGCAGAAGGACCGGAAGGACCGAGATATCAGCACAAGCAGCATAACCCTCCCTGGGTGCCGGACTTGAGCAAAAACAGTGCAGGCTAAGGCCTGACCAATTCAGGATGGGGTACACGCTGCTCCCCTCGGTCGCCAAGATTGGAACAGGAGGCCCTACAGGGGAGGCACGCCCGCCTCTGGGCTTTGGAAGGTCTCTTCCGGGATCCCTGCCTTCAGAGCCGGAGCTAGCGCGTCTAGGTCGGAGGGGCAGGAGGTCAGGGCAGATGCTGGGAAAGAGCAGGCATTTGGGACTCATAAGCTCACACCCCGTTCTGGATAAATCAGTGTGTTAGTAAGGGTGGGGGTGGCATCACGACAAGGGGTTCGGACGCTGGGGAGGGTGGTTGTTGATACCTGTGGTCAGCAGTGGCTGCGTTTGAAAGGTGTGTCTGCCTTGAAGAGAGGATGCACCTGTGCGTGCCTGGGGGCAGAGCCCTACGGAGCTCTCTTTGGTGCCTCTGTTTTTGTTTTGTTTTATTTTTATGTGAAGGAGGTTCACAGAAAAATGTATAAATGCATAAAAGATTGTCTAGGTCTTTCTGGAGAGCCTCCTGAGACCGGCGCTGTGCTGGGTGGGGTAGGGGTGTTGGATTCAAGACTTGGTCTTATCCACTGCGGACATGTTTGAGGGCAATTGGGATCTGTCACAAGGGACCTTGCGGGCCAGTTCAGTGGCGTGTTGTCCTTTCAGGTCCCCCAGGGAAAATGGAACCAAGCCCCTTGAGCTTGGTCCCTGACCGCCTGGCCTGTGCCCATTGCAAAAAGTAGGGTGATTCGTCTTCAGGGGAGACCTCTCATGAGAAGCCCGGGGCCTTACTTGCAATGAGCCTCCTGGAATATTGCCCTGTGGTGGGGGCAAGCCATGGCCGCCCCCTCCTCCTCCTCACTGTGCCACGTGGGAGTTGGGGTGAGGGAGAGGGGACCGTCCCCTGGGTTTGAGTGACCAGGAGGAGGTGCTGCTGTGGAAGGCAGAGCTGGCAAGAGGGAGGCTGGGCTGGGGAGGGAGAGACAGCAGGTGCGCTTTTGGCCGGTGAGCTGGAGAGTGACCTGCAGGAGGCGTTAGTGAGCAGGTCAGGGAGCGCCTTCTGGGTCCACGTCCCTCCAGAGAAAGCAGGTGGCTCGGTGACACGTGCGTGGGGATATCTTCACTCTCTGTGATTTTAAAACCTTACAGCCAAATAACTGCCAGGGCCAGAGTGGAATAAGGACATGGTGCAGGCTCTTTCCCCGAAGCGCACTGGTTCGGGTCCCCTCTCAGGAGCGCCCAGGGGACAGGAGGCCAGACACGCCTCTCACAGTGGCTGCAGTCTGTGCGCGTCTGGGGGGCCCACGTGGGTGCTGCGTCCTGGCAGCAACCCTTCCCCGGGCTGAAACGGCCGATACTGTTTTGATCATTCATTGGAGGCTTTGCAGCGTCTCACCTTCCCGCACTGTTTGTCGTTCCAGGTGCTGCTGTCAGGACTCATTGGCGTCGTCTCCTGGAAAAGACCCCTCTCCCTCGTGGTAAGTCGCACCTGGTCTCCACGGTGGCCTTGGATCGGGGCTCTGGCTGCAGAGCTGTGAGCGCGTTGGAGGCGAAGGCAGAGCATCCTGGCTCCTTTGCGCAAAGCGGGAAGCGGGTCTTCCCGGAAGTGCCGTCAGCGATTAGCGCTGAGCCCCCGCCTGTCCCTCTGCTCGCGAGTGGCTCTCGGGGGTTTGCCTACGACCTCCCGTGCCCTCTTCTTTCTGTTTGTCCCCTCTCGGGGCCCTCCGATGAGGCCATGCCGTGAACACAGACATTTTAATACGTGTAGACGCGCGAACACGTTCATGCGCATGTGTACGCTTATGAGTGATCACAAACAGGGCGTGTTTGAATGGAGGTCAAAAAATGTCAGCGTTCCGTGTGTCTTGGAGGGTGTGCCACTCGGCGCAGGTGCCGTGTGCTAGAGTGAAGAAAGGCGTGCCCCCCGAGGGGGTTCTCCCGTGGCCCTGGCTTCGTGCTGGGGAGGCTTGGACAGAGGGCGCTGGTTTCTCGTGCCGGAAGCACCCCAGGCAAGCGCGTGCCTATCGATTCACAGGCTTGTTCTTCTCGGCATCTGCATTAATATATTCATGTGTCCGCCTCTGAGGTAGAGGAAGAGGTTTTCCCGTTTCTGATGGATAATGAAAAAGATGGCGTGGTTTTTTCTCTCTTTTGTAGCGATCAATTATTTAAAATCTCTTCTTTAAGTGATTAGACTCGGAGATAATGACGAGGGCCAGAGAGTAATGGGAATAGAAAAGAATACAAAGCCGTGTGTTGTAAATCCCGCCTCCTTCATGAGAGCAACCATGAAAGCTTCCAGGTCCCAGGAAGAGAGCTTAGGGATTAATTCCGTGGAGACAGCTCTTCTACAATATGTGAGCTCACATGACAAATTTCCCTCTCCAAAAATGTTTTTAAATGGAAATTTTCACCTTGGCTGGTGAGGCTCAGTTGGTTGGGCGTCGTCCCGCAAACAGAAAGGTCACGGGTTCGATTCCCCGTCAGGGCACATGCCTGGGTTGTGAGTTCAGTCCCCAGTCAGGGCATGTGCCTAGGCTGCGGGTTCGATCTGCATTCCAGGTGCAGGTACATGTGACTCCTGGTCCAGACTTACGTGATCCCTGGTCCTGGCACCAATCTGCAGTCCAGGCACGTACGGGAGGCAACCAACAGATGCTTCTCTCTCTCTTCGGTGTTTCTCTCTCTCCTCCTCTCTCTTTAAAAGCAATGAAAAAAATGTTCTCAAATGAGGACTTTAAAAAAAGGAAAGAGGAACAGAGAGGAGGCAGAAGCAGGCTGTCTGATGAGGGCAGGGAAGGACGCTGTTCTTTCCAGCCTGGTGAGTGTGATGAGGGAGGGAGGGAGGAGAAGGACGGACACACTGTGACTTCGTCTCCCTTAGTGTTCGCTCGGAGCCCTACCACGCGCTCAACACTAGTGACAGCTGGGTCAGCGGAGAATGTGTATTTTCACATTCCTGCGGTTGTTTCTCGTATGCGCCGAGTGTCTCTTGTGATTGAGATAATTGTCCTCCTTACATTATACTGGAAGAGGCTCTATCTATAGGATGCTCTATAGGCATCCGAGTATGTGGCTCTGATTAGAGAACTTTTTGAAAGATCCAGTGAAACAGGTTGTGATTGCTTATATTTTAATGATGGAAATTAGGGTGTCCAAACTTTTGGCATCTCTGGGCCACCCTGGAAGAAGAAGAGTTGTCTTGGGCCGCACATCAACTACACAAACACGAACGAAAACAAATAAATCTAATAATGTTTCAGGTAAATTTATGATTTTGTGTCGGGCCATCTTCACGGCCACCGAGGGCCGTGTGAGGCCCGTGGGCTGCAGGTTGGACCCCTTTGCAGGCGGGCCGATGGTCTCCTCTGTCGGGTGCCACGGAGGGCCGTCCGCCTGCGGGGCCACGTTTTAGCCAAGCCTGACCCACACACACTGGGAGCTTTCTTCCCAAGTCCCCCTGCTAACACATGGGGCGCCGTAAGCTCTGCTCAGCGGGCCCATTGCGATCAATCTGGCTCGACACCTGGCTCTTGCACCATGAACGGTAGGTCCCAACGAAGATCGCCCAGCCGCCAGTTGTGCGGAACTTTCCGGGCTGCAGCACAGAAGCGGGGACGCGGGCCGTCGGACCCCTCTTTTGATTTTTCCACTTTGACAGATGGCTGTGCCACATCGGAGGACCTCTCGGTTGTTCTCTGCCTCCCCTTTCCTAGTGCTGTGTTCACGGCTTACGAAGCACTCGTTTTACAGAGCAGTCTCCCGCCAAGATATTAATTAGAATCTTTTTCATATCGGGTCACCCCTTCCCCTGCGTTCTTCCCTCCCCCCAGGTCAGTTGCTCTCTTAACTCGCCTCCATCCTTAGTCATGATATTTGTTGTACTCCAAGGTCAGTCTGCCCTTGCTTATTCTGCTTCTATTTATGAAAGAGGTACCATGTGGATGAGTGTAGGCAGTTGGTGTGGTTGGTTGTTTTGTTTTGTTGTGTTTTTTCCGGGGGAGGGGGTGTGCTGGAGGGACCTCCTTGGGCTTCCTAGGAGGCCCCGGAAGGAGTCCTTGAGCTCGTCTTCCACCACGCAAAGCCGTATTTCCTCTCGCTCCCCGCAACATCATTGTCCCTTGTGAAGGCCCAGAGGTACCTCGCCGTGGGCGTGGCCCGGGCAGATGCCGAGGTGGTGATAGTAATTGCCGATGTTTACTGATCATTCTCGGAGGCCCAGGCTCTCATCTAAGTCCTGGTCTGTGAGGCGGATTTGGTCGTCATGCCTGAGGTGCGGCAGGGGGTCCCCGGCAGAGCTCGACGCCGACCCCAGCAGTGGAGCCTCAAAGCCCAGGCTCTTGGTCGCGCTGCCAGCGTTTCTGCATCCCGACCGCCCACCGGAACCCCTGGGGCCACTGTAGCAACACGCGGGACTCCAGGGCCGCTGCATTGGCTCTCGTTACCGTATTTGGCTGTGTATAATGCGCACCCATGTTTTTTGGCTCAAACGTGCAGGGAAAAGAAATCTTTTAATTTTTTAATTCAACTGTTTATTTATACTTAGATGCTTGGGGTTTGTTTTTTTTTTTTTTTTTGTATTACAAAGGAAGTTAAGCATTTATTTTTGAACATATTATGGTACGAGAAATTTTATGTAACAAATAATTACAAAACACAGATACCAGGTATTTCAGGTACCACCCATGTATCATGCGCATCCTTATTTCTCTCTCAACGATTTGGGGCGGGGGGAAGTGCACATTATACACAGAAAATACTCTCATACGGGCAAGCACGGATGTGGTGTACAACACACTGTGTACCGGGTCCTTTTTGAATAGTCTCAACACTTAGCTCTTTTTTTTTTCCCCAAGAGGCCAAGGCAGGATTCAGTGAAGGGATAGTACGCTCTCAGAGCGGGAGAGAGAGGGGGCTTGCCTGAAGAGCAACTGGTAACAGTTGTCAGGACACCCTGCTGGGAATCCTGTTATCTTCTCACCCAGAGGAGGGACCAGGGCACAGAACAGGGGTGCGAGGTCAACAGTGGGCTGGACGCCAGCCCAGGCCGCCTGGCCGCGTGGGCCCCTCCCTCGGTCATTACTCCGCTCCACCTACTGGAGACTTTATATGTAACAGATTAAAAAAAAAAACAACCCTCTTTCCATAGCTCACTGCAGCAGAAATCCAGCTTCCTTGGCAGTTCAGGCTAAATGAGATACTTTTATGTCCAAGTCATTATTTCATGGCTTCCTTGTTCATAAGAAGCAACCATATACAGGCAGATTTTTTTTTTTTTTTCTATTTTCTTTTCTCCAACCAGGGGCTCCCGAGTGTTGCCTCCCTGGCAGCGGGCGAGGGGAGCGCGGCAGGGAACGAGGGGATGGAGCCAGGCTGGCGGCCCCACCAGCACCCCTGCTGGGCGCAGGGGGAACGTGCCCCGCCCTTTGCAGCCCTGTGCGCTGGGGCCGTCCCGGGCGTGGCAGGAATACGTGTCTGATATTTAGCACCCCCCCTTTTGGAGAAGCCAGGCCTGATTCTTATCATAGAGTCAGCTTGATTGGAAACCAACAGACAACTGATGAAAAAAAAAAAAAGCTTTGATTGCTTTTCCATTCCGCGTGAATTCTGTTATTCCTGTTTTCCCCCACTGCAGTATTTAATGAAATACGCAGACGCCGAGCAGTTGGATCTGTGTGACAAATGAACGGGGGCCTGAGTTAGGACTGGTTCCTTCTTTCTCGCTCTTCATTGCTATGCTGATCAGTTTCCAATGTAAGGAAGCTTAAAATCGTATGCTGCATACATTAACTTCTTCTTAAAAGTGTCTCTGAGTTTTTGTGCTAACATATGTTTCCTGCTGCGCCATCAGAAATTCAGTCCTGGTCTCGCTACAGATTCATATATCTGGCCATATTTTGTGGGGAGAAAAATAAGTATGAATCACTTTAACCTTTAATACAAGTAGTCGAAAGCCTGTAGGGCTTCCTTTTAAGCCCATGAATTGAGCTCACATATAACTTTAATATGCTATTTAAAAATATAGGTGAGTTAAAGGTTAATATATTTCATGTAAATGTATTCGACATCATTATTTATTCAGAAAATTCATTATAAATCTACTTTGGGGGTTTCTTACAGCCACGAACAGGGCCTGTCTTCAAGAGAGTACGTTTTACTTGAGCACACTGAAAATGAAGGCTTCATTCATTAAGTGCTGAAGATGACAAGAAAGTGGACTGTGTCCAGAGCCCTGGTCTGTGTGGCTCAGTGGGTTGGAGCGTTTCCTGGAAACAGAAGGGTCGTGAGTTCGATTCCTAGTCAGGGCAGTTTTGGTCCCTTGTCAAGGCATGCAGAGGAGGAAACTGACTGATGTTTCTCTCCCTCTCTCCCTTCCTTTCTCTCTGGAATCAGTAAGCATAAATTAAAAGATTAAGGAAAAAAAAACAAGGCAGAATTTTACTTTGCTCAGGAAGCAGCTTAAGTTTCTTAAAACCCC